ACTTTTCATTTGTAAGAGAAGGACTGTGTTATCTCTCCTTTCAAAGGTTATATAGTCCCTATAAGGTTGTGTCAATATTATCAGCTATCAGTGAAAGAGAGTTAATGTCACAGGTAGGAGCTGTAAACATCCTCTTGCCTCACGGTATAGTGATCAACTGAACCTTCATTGTATATGATTCTACCATAGGGCTGCCACATTATTTAAAAAAATACACATTAATACATGTTATCAGCAAAGATAAAGTCCAGGTGAATATTGAAAATTACATAAATATATGTATCAGTCAGTAATTGTTATTTTAATAGCTTATTACTGTTTGCACAATAAGAAGGTATGTTTATACATGGCACTAATAGGCCACCATACATGTTACTGTTTAATAGGTCACATCATTTTATACAATAGTATGGGTTCCCTGCTCAGTCTCTCTTTCCACTAAGGGGTCCTTGGCCTGAAAAACGCTGGAGACCCCTGATCTTGACAACATCACAAGTCCTGAGTTTGGTGTCCAAAAACACTACTGTTCGGACTATTTGGACTGTATGTAATTGCAAGAATTCACAGGCTGGGTGACTTTCTTCTGTGATTTACTTATCCTGGGGGCTCCCCCCGGGCGGCAGCCCACTGCTGGGGTGGTTAACACAGACACACACTTGAAACTAGTCTGACTTGTGTTCTAAAATAAGTAGCCACCCAACAATCACACCAGTCACACAGCAGCACAATCAACAAAGCTATCACTGTGCTGCACTAGCAGAGAAAAGTCTGCTCGCTCCCGTTCCACTGTAGGACACTGCACAGCAGGAAATCACACTCACATGGCTTTCCAGTGAATTAGAACAGAACCAATAAAAGTATTCCTTAAATGTAGCCTTTTCCTAAAGTATGAGGAGAACGGCCGAAGTTGAATGGAGTTTAAATAAGAGACAGTCAGACAACATTTAAGCTAGTTTGTAGTAACCATACACACAAAAACAAATACTTTTAAAGGGACAATTTTCCTAAACTCTAGAGCTGGTTACCCCCACCATACAGCCACTATACAACCACAGTCAATACGTTTAAGGCCTTCATTAATGATATATTCTATATGTATATGTAAGTAAGTTTCTAGTTATATAATGTATACATATGTAATTAATTTCAGAGGAGTTTTTAGTAAGTGTCAACCACACTGTACAGAAGAAAACACTGAGGTGTGCTACCTGTTGTTACCTATATAATAACACTTTACTGACAGTGATGGATAATTAGTGGCAGCACGCGGCACATTAAAGCTCCTGACGCGCCTCAGAGCGGGAGTCACGCGCACCGGAGAGGTTTGCTGTATAGTTTGATGGAAGTCGTGAAGTTGTGTTTACAGACCTTTATCCGACGGACACTGGCCTCCAGACGAAGCTGTTTCACTGCCTTCTGGGCGAGGGCTAGACTGCTGTTGGCGGCGCTGTTGTTTGACATGACTGAGTCCAAGTAACAGAGCAAGTGACCAAGTAGTCCGTTACATTAACGTTTCACTACAAGGCTGCAATAAGACACATCTTCCGGCGAGGTCCTTCAAAATAAAAAGCCCATTCACTCACTTTTTTTTTCACTCCCTCCACCCACAGAACGAAAACACGCACACAGACACGCCAGGGGCGTAGGCATAGACAGTGCGGACACTCTGGGGGCCGTGGGGTGTGTGGGAGGGGCTTAGAGAGAGTGGACCCTCATTGCCCCTTTTGATATACACCTGTGTTCAAGGTAGACCTCTCACTAACTTAAAGTTGGTGCCATTTGCTGTATATGCTCTGGAAAAGGCAAACCCATGTTCATGATGTTTTCTTTCTTTCTTGCAAAATAGTCAGTGGGAATATAACAACAGTATATGCATATTTTACATTAAACTATACAATGTATGAAAAACTATTCAATTATATTACATTTTCTTATTTTTCTTATTATTGTCATACTATACAGATATGCAATGATGACTGATAGGACACATCATAATAGTGAGCCCTGGGGCCCAGTACAAGTAAAAGTCAGAAATCAGAAATGTCACTTAAGTACAACACTGACAACACAAAAATAAAAATAAAATGTTTATTTAGTTTAGTGGCCTTAATTTAGAGCCATATATAAATAATAATAAAACAGAATTGGAGAGGTATTTCAGAGATGAAACAAGACTAAGATAAAAAATATTATGTATAAAACAATATTTGGATTATTATTATATTATTATTATATATTATTTGGATAACCGAGAACATCAATAAATAATACAGTTAAATCATTCAAATATGTAGCATAAAAAGAAAAGCAAATTGTCATACTTCTTCAGTCAATAAAATACATTCAAACTTTATTTACGATACTTTTTCATTTATTTTTCACCATCTCATTTTATTATTAAACTCCTTAGTTTAGTCCTGGCAGAAAAATAAATAAATAAAAGAAGACAGTAGTATTACAGCCTATATAATCGTCTATATATCTTATATAGACTGTCAATTATTTATATTAATTGTAATTATATGTAATAGAATAATGATGGAGTATTTGGGACCGTCCTCTAGAGGGAGCTAGTGAACTCAATGAAACACCAAGCGCCTGTTAAACCTCGACGAAGAAGAAAGCGGTTCAAAGTTCAACCTGGAACTGCTTCCGGTGTAGCTGGGGGTCACACAGAGGGGGAGTTAAACCTAAAAGTCTTCAAAATGCTGTTACGAGTGAGTACGATAAGTTTCCGGAGACCTTCCTGTCAGCGTGCCTCGCCGTAAATCGGGTTGAAAAGCTAAGAGCGGCGCTTCCGGTCGCTGCTGCTGTCGGTCGTGTTGAGCGTGTGAGCTGGCAGCTTGTGTAACGCTGCTTCATGGCTTCATCACCTCTACAGCTGACAGCTCACAGCTCACACTGTAACCTGGCTGACTGCAGGCCTTCTGCTGCACACACACAGTTACTGTGTTCTCACTGTAGACAACAAACCTAGCCAGTCTGAAGTAACCCGTTTCACTCGGTGTTGGTTTTTGGATTAACGTTACTGACGGTGCAGCTCTGACGTTAGATCTAACGGTGTGATTGTAAATGATGGCAGGTTAACGTTGCACCTGACGCAATGTCTAAGAGTTTAATTTTAATCGACTAAGTTTATTAGTTGTTAGACACACACAGTGGTATGGTAAATATAGTTTCATGGTGTAACAGTAAGCAGTATTACACAATTATTATCAGTTACAATGACCCTTAAAGGAATGAAAACAGGAGGGTTTTTTATTATTATAATTTCACAAAATATTATTTTTTATTTTAAACCTAATACAGTAGAACTGAATACCATAGATGAGTGAATGTACACAGTATGATAACCATCAATGTTCATACCATGGTACACCCATATATACTGCCAATGGGTGCACCATAGTGTCAGTATAGCACTGCAACCCTAACAATGTATGTCAATAGGGAACTACTAATATATTTTACATGGAAAGTCATTGACTTGACTTAATTAATTTAACAGAACCCTCATTTGTTGCATTTATTTAACTTTTTTAATGTAATATTTAAGTTAGTTTTATTCTTCTTTTTATGCGTTTATTAATCCCACATGTTTAAACATTTTTTTAAAAATATTGTGAGGTTGTTTCGGTTACAATAATTCATTTCTCTTCTGTGTTAAACCTTGTGTGTTTTCTGCATGTGTGTTCCAGAGGGTGTTGCACATCGGAGGCTTGACGCTGAAACACAGCAGGTCCATCCACCACAGTCCTGTATGGAGGAGTCCTCTCATACCTATAGTTGTGGAGCAGACAGTGAGTGGCACGGACCAACACACACGGAGCATCCTCACTAAGTAGACCTTGTTCAGGTTTGCCTGTAATACATTTCCTGAATAACACTGGTGGGGAATGTACACACAAGAGGAGCTCATTCACAACTTAAAAAAAAAAAAATAGCGCACTCCGGTCTCTTTCTTCCAGTAGTGTCCTCAGATACCAACAGGGTTTACACAGGAAGGGATGAGTTTTACATTCGCTTGTTTGCTTGGGACAAACCGACTGTGGAGTTAGAAAGAAAAGAAAGGAGAGAGAAACTCTCATAGTTAAGCTGAATTTGACTACATATTAGACACAAAAATATGCTCAAACTGTCAGTACTGTCAGAAAACTGCTTGATTTTTGTGCGTGCTTTTGATGGGCACTATTGTCCCACATAACGGTGCATGAAAGACATTAAAAAAGCTTCTCACAGCTAGAAAGAAAACTATGAATGTTGGTAAGACAGCGTCATACAGTATAACAGTATAGCAACTGCAAAAACAGCATACCGTATTATTATAGTAGCATTGCAAACTGTATAAGTAAGTAAACAAGTGGGACGTGGCAGTTGTTTGACAACATTAACAACCTCGTTTCGAACTTTCATAACAGTAAACAACACATTTTTGGTTCATCACAGCACTAGATAAAATTGTGTTTGTCAATTATTTTAAGTTACAACAATTCCAACAATTCTGCCTTTTTGTTTTTCTTCCAGGGGAGAGGAGAGAGAGCGTATGACATCTACTCTCGCCTCCTGAGAGAGAGAATCATTTGTGTAATGGGTCCTGTAAGTGTCTCCCTGGATGTTGAGACTGATTGAGAGTGAGCTTTTGTTGCATAAACACGTATTTAAAATGATTTTTAAAAAATATTCTCACTCTTTCTCCCCTATCTGCTTAGATTGATGACTCTGTAGCCAGTCTGGTTATTGCCCAGCTGCTCTTCCTACAGTCAGAGAGCAACAACAAACCCATCCACATGTACATCAACAGTCCTGGTAAGAGCTTTTCTGACTGGTTATTGTACATTTACTATTTTACATTGACCATCTGTTCTTTTTATACCAATTTCTTGTTTTACTACTTTCATTTTATAGCAATTTCTACCAGATATTTTAGTGGTGTCTTTACCAGTTGTTGGTGTCATTAAGATGGACGACTGTCTCAACCTTTGGCTTTAGTGATTCAACAACGTTTTCCGTATAGCTCATACGAGTGCGCCACGTCAGACAGCAAACACTCCTAACTTCAGATTTCTTTTGAAATCACCTGCGTAAAAATGATGAATGCCAGCTGTATGTAATGGAGTGCTTACACTGCCTGCCCGGTGTGTGAGGAAGCTCATTGGTGAAAATGGTACAGAAGAAATGTTGTCAAGTGAAAACAAAGCAGAAATCAAACAAAGAGAATGTGCTGCTGCTGCTGGCGGGGGTGCAGCCGAATGAGAGAGACCAGAGCAAAGCTGGGACAGGGTTTTTATCCTTTAGGAGCGCCTGACCCAGGTGCTCCAAATCCATACGCTGCTGATGGTACCTTCAAGGACACTCAGGAAAAACAATAACTGGTCCACCACATCAGCACATCAACATGTTAGAAGGGGGCCGTCACATGTGATTGAAGTCCTGCTGTTAACACTGTGTCACCTTGCTGAAATCAATGATAAGTGGTTTGATATAAAAGGCAAGGTGATTGATGAGTTCAAGGGAAAGTGTACATCACAGAGAGAGAGGAAAGAATACACGCCGTAATAGGTGATGTTGCATTGTCAGGCCGAGGTTGTTCCCCTGGAGCAACCTGCATACACCTTCAATGTGAAGGGAACCCCATCAGCAGCCATTTCTTTGAATGACGATATCGTTAGGCTGGATGATACGTTTCGAACCAGGCTATATTATAATTGGAACTGTACAGTCCAACAGGGTGATGTTAACGTAATTACAAAGTGTAACTACATAGGAAACTCAACATTGCTTTAAAGTAATGCAATGAACAATCCTTTAGTGAAAAGAGGACAGTAGACTAATTGCACTTGACTCCTACGAGTGGTCCAGAACACAATTGTGTTCGTGCGTTTCAAAGAAAATAGGAAAGCGATATTACCCATTTTTAAATTGCCATTCTGTAATATTGGTTTGTCATTTTAATATCCAATTTCCTTTTTCAGCTTCCCTTTTCTCCTTAGCATTTCACTGCGGCCCTATTATCCTGACTAGAACAATATGATGGTCTAATTACCAGTTTCCATTTCAATATAGAATATGGCTAATCAATCCCACTTGAGCACTTAAACTCATGCCATTTTTTAAATCCTTCCTCTCCCTCCAGGCGGCGTGGTGACAGCGGGCCTGGCCATTTATGACACCATGCAGTACATCCTTAATCCCATCTCCACCTGGTGTGTCGGACAGGCCGCCAGTATGGGCAGCTTGCTCCTGGCAGCGGGAACGTCGGGGATGAGGCATTCACTGCCCAACGCCCGCATCATGGTTCACCAGCCTTCAGGGGGCGCCAGGGTAAGGTTGTCTCCCCAGGTCCTCTTAATACTGACCTGATACAGTCTGAAAGGTAGGACAGCACAGTTCAGTCAAGGCTGTAATAAATAATGATCAGAGTGCTCTGTTTCCAGGGTCAGGCCACAGACATCGCCATCCAGGCTGAGGAGATCCTGAAGCTGAAGAAACAGATCAATTACATCTACGCCAAACACACAGGGCAGCCGCTGGCAACCATTGGTAGGTTCGGCCCGGCTCTTTTATCTACAGGCAAATCGTGGAGTTTAAGATGTACCAGTGCAACACTTCTTTCCCCACTCACTCACTCTTTCATGCTCAGAAATCTTGATCTGTAGATCATCCAGTGCTGTCTGAATAGGATACTATACACCCATATATACCTCTTGCACACGTAATGAATGAGTTTTCCACTCAAACATGGTTATGGGGCTGATCAGCAGTCTGTCTTGGGCAAACAACCGGCTGTTATTCCTGCTCATATTCTCAGTTTTGTTCTGCAAAACACAGCCCAGTTCTGTATTACACAGTGGCCCACTGTGGAGAGGACAGGATCAGCTCTGGGCCTGTATTTATTAAACTTCTAACAATTGCAGACTGTAGAATGCTCTAAAGAGCATTAGGAGTGAAAATAAAAAAGTTCCCTCCACTGCATGTGAAGAGAAATGCACAATTACCAAGCAACTCAGTTAAGTGTAAGAGGAACATTTAAAAGCAGTTCTCATGTGATAATGTGTTTTAATGATGTTAGATTTGAGCAGGAACAGCCAACCAGATGCATTAAACAAAAACATGGGATTGTAATTTCACTTGTGAAAGTGTCTAAAAAACAGGATTTAGTAAGGATTTTGTAAATTTCAATTATAAAAAGGTAAATGGCTCCAATAGAAATGTTGGCAAGTTTTAAGTGATGTTGACGTCAGCAGATACCATGTTGGTGTGATATACATTAATGTTCTAGGTGTAAAGGAGCTCTGTCATTTAAATTCCTTCCAGCCAATCCGACAAACCTGTTATAAACTGATGCTCATCTTTGTTCTCCTTTCCTTTTCTTTAGAGGGTGTGATGGAAAGGGATCGCTACATGAGCCCCATGGAGGCGCAGGACTTCGGTATCATCGACCGGGTCCTGGTCCACCCGCCCCAGGCAGGCCAGGATGAGCCCGAGCTGGTGCAGAAAGAGCCAGCAGCGGCAGCCAGTCCCTCTCCACAGCCAGAGTCCCCAGCCCCTGAGCCAGCCTCCCCTGGGACGAATCCCCCCTCCTCATACAAACCTGAGCCATGAAGCCACCCCAGAGCTGTCTGGATTTGATACCTGACAGTTCCTGAGAACAAGGCTGAGCCTCCGGGGGGTTTGTCTTGTCTTAAGTGGCTTCTTTCTTCCCCTTAACAACTCTCTGCAGTCTGCACACATGCAGGCATCATGTAGGGTGAGCAGTGACAGGTCCAATGTTTGGGTTAAGTTATATTGACATGTTGAATCATGTGGTCTATAAAATAAAAGTCAAAGAAGCAATGGCTGGAAAGTAGTCAGTCATCGTCTTTCCTCTCTACACAAGTTGTTCATTGCTCAGCTCTGGGACAAACTAGTATTTCAGCTGAGTGTAGACTGACGGCAGAGAGGATAAGATGCTCTACTACATGAGTTTATTTAGGGGAGGGGAAGCCTGTTAAGACTGTTGAGGCCATCTTGTTGTGTACCTCCTTGCTGCAGAGACGTCCACTGCAGAGTGGAGAAGACCTGTATGACCTGTATTTGAGTACTCGTATTTGTAATAAATATCATCATTTTGACCACAATTCACAAAACCTTTACTGCTTGTTTTTAATCCAACAGTTGTCTTAAATCCATCTATCCACAAGATCATCACATCCACAGTAACTGAACTGCTGCATTCTCACCCTGCTGTTCAAAGTCATTTAAAGTCATTGTTGGAAAATATAGAAATGAAGGATTTAGGCTGTAGATCTTAAATACCTTCTCTAGACATGTATTACGACATAAAATTTGGTTTGTTTTCGTAAAAAAGATTGTTTCCACGTTAAAATCATCACCTACTCCTATGTCATTCAAAATTCCAGAATTTATGAATATGCACATTTCTAAAGTTTTCCCGCTGGAAACGAGACTATTTCACTAGTCCATTCTCAGTGGATGTGACAATGACGTTTTAAAACACTGAATCCTTTTTGGGTCCTTGTTAGTGAACGAAACAGCTGTAAGTTTGTCGAAATAGACGCAATGTTACATAAAGTATGAACTATGTGTTGCATAATATGGCCCTTAGAGCACTCGGCCATCCTGTCCCAAAAATACTTGGATTCTTTCATTTGGGGCACCAAATTCAAAACTTCCTCATGCATTAAGATGGGACTTGATCCTGCGGTGGAGAAGTGGCATTCCGTCCAACACTTGGGACACTGAGTCACTCCCACCCCCCTGGGAATACCAGGTGCTGTAAGCTTTTTCATTTCTCTGAGCATACAGCAGAGGCTGCTGCTTCTTCACTGTACACAGAACGTTGTTC